TATTGTAAATTGTGCTGCTATGAACATAGGGATGCATACATTCTTGGATTCATGATTTTTAATTACTGTTCTTTTATTCCTTCTTTATTCAAACATACATAAAATATTCCTTTCAATTCTATTGTCTCCAATTAAATTTATATTTTTTCTTTGTTTAATCATTATCTGATATGGTTTTCATTTATTAATTTTTCTGAAAATGCTTTCTTGAGAATCAACACTGATTTATTTTAAGCTAAACATACTTGGTCATTATTTGACTTTCTTCATCTATAAGCCTGTTGAAACTTTAGAGGTTCTTAATTGAGAATACAAACAAGCTTGGATATTGTGGACAATCTCTCAGATTTGGATTTTCAACTAATTAAGAATACAAACAAAAAATCAGTTGGGAATCAAAATAAAGTATTTATATAATCAGTGTCTGTATACTGTGAACTGGGTTAGTGTTTCGTGAAAAGACTGTGTATGCAAATCAGCCCCCAAATTCCAAAGGATTTGAGAGGCCAAAGAACAAAGCAGACAAGTCTAGCTTGTCAGTTTAAAGAGTTTTAATAGAGAGCTTACAGAAACACAGTCCTAGGTGGGTGCAGGACAACATGGATCCTTGCCCCATTCACCCCCAGACCACCTGTTCTACACCTTCCTAAGAAATGGACCTAGTACTCCAAAAGGAATGCAAGGTGATATAGTAGAACAAAAGGACCAGATAATGGGGGCTCTGGCCCCAGGGCAAGATAACATTGAGGGTACCTTTCCTAGGAGGAAGGACTAATGGTGGAGGAAGGAATAATGGTAATTCACGATTAACCTGGAGTCTCTGTACACATTCATAGTGTTCCCAAGGGGAAAGGGAATAGCGTTAAGGGTTCAGAAGGATTAGTTTTTAAATGGAGTCAACTATATATGCACAGTTAGGTACTAGTCTACAGCAGTAAGATGGACCAGGTCCCTGCCCTCATGAAGATTACTTTTTGAGAAATAGATAATTAACATGTAAATGAACAAAAACAAGCTAAATAGTGATAGTAATAACATTTAGCTGTGAGATAAACTGAGGGGTATGAAAGAGTAACTGGAATGGGGAATGAGGCTGCCACCTTATAGTGTGGTCAAGGAAGACTTCTGAGGAGGTGACATTTAAGTGGAAACTTGAAGGACCAGAAGAAGCCAGCCAGGGGAAGAGGAAAAGAGGAACATTCCAGGCAAATAACCTGATAGAGAAAATAATGTAATGTGTTCTAGAAACCAAAGGAAGCTGCTGTGATGAAGCATAAATGAGCAGGAGACTGGTGTAGAATAAGATTAGAGACACAGGAGACTGCCTATTCAAGGGTTTGTAGATGATGGTAAGGAGTATGGATTTTAATCAAAGTGAGTGTGAAGGCATTGAAAAATTTTAATCAAGGATAACCCTGTTTATGGAAATTGAATTTAAGGGCATAAAGTAATCAGTTAAGAGACTGTTAAAAATATTCTAGGCAAGAGATCATAGTAAATTTGATTAAGGATGATAGTAGTGGAGATGAAAAGAAATAAGTGGGTTCTATTTCATTTGAGCATTTTATTATGATGCCATCCATACTTGCATATGTGTTACTTATGTTGTTTTATATATTAAACTAGAGGCCCGGTGCACAAAAATTTGTGCACTCAGGGGGGTCCCTCAGCCTGGCCTGTGCCCTCTCGCAGTCTGGGACCCCTTGGGGGATGACCACCTGCTGGCTTAGGCCCGCTCCCCAGGGGATTGGGCCTAAACTGGCAGTCAGACATCCCTCTGGCAGCCTGAGAGCCCTTGGGGGATGTCCACTTGCCAACGGGGAGCAGGCCTAAGCTGCAGTCAGACATCCTTAGCACTGCTGAGGAGGCGGGAGAGGCTCCCACCACCACCGCTGTACTGGCAGCCATCAGCCTGGCTTGTGGCTGAGCAGAGCTCCCCCATGTGGGAGCGCACTGACCACCAGAGGGCAGCTCCTGCATTGAGCGTCTGCCCCCCTGGTGGTCAGTGTGTGTCATAGTGACCAGTCATTCCCAGTTTTTCTGCTGTTAGGGTCAGTTTGCATATTACCCTTTTACTATATAGGATAGAGGCCTGGTGCAAGGGTGAGGGCCAGCTGGTTTGCCCTAAAAGGTGTCCTGGATCAGGGTGGGGTCCTGCTGGGGTGCCTGGCCAGCCTGGGTGAGGGGCCTAGGACTGTTTTCAGGCTGGCCACACCCCCTTCAGGGTGGGGGTCCTGCTGGTGTGCCTGACCAGCCTGGGTGAGGGGCTGATGGCTGTTTGCAGGTTGGCCACAGCCCCTTCAGGGTGGGGGTCCCCGCTGGGGTGCCTGGTCAGCCTGGGTGAGGGGCTGATGGCTGTTTGCAGGCTGGCCACAGCCCCTTCAGTGTGGGGGTCCCCACTGGGGTGCCTGGCCAGCCTGGGTGAGGGGCTGAGGGCCATTTTCAGGCTGGCCACACCCCCTTCAGGGTTGGGGGGTCCTGCTGGGGTGCCTGGCCAGTCTGGGTGAGGAGCTGATGGCTGTTTGCAGGCTGGCCAAGCCCCCCAGCGGGGACCCTCACCCCATGAGGGTGTGGCCAGCCTGGGTGAGTGGCTGATGGCTCTTTGCAGGCTGGCCACAGACCCCAGCCACCCAAGCTCCCAGTGGAGGCTGGCTGGAAGCAGGTATCTGGGATTTATTTATCTTCTATAATTGAAACTTTATTGCCTTAATTGGAGGCCACAGCCGGCCAGGGAAGGCAGAAGTTTGGCTTCCTCCATCGCCAGAGCAACCATGCCTCCTGCTTGCTCCAGCTCTGTGGCTGCCAGCCACCATCTTGGTTGGTTTAATTTGCATATAGTCGCTCTGATTGGCTGGTGGGCGTGGCTTGGGGCATAGCGGAGGTGCAGTCAATTTGCATGTTTCTCTTTTATTAGATTAGATCAGTGATGGCGAACCCATGACACGCGAACTCATTTTTTTTGGTTGATTTTTCTTTGTTAAATGGCGTTTAAATATATAAAATAAGTATCAAAAATATAAGTCTTCGTTTTACTATGGTTGCAAATATCAAAAAATTTCTATATGTGACATGGCACCAGAGTTAAGTTAGGGTTTTTCAAAATGCTGACACGCCGAGCTCAAAAGGTTCGCCATCACTGGATTAGATAGTATATATTTTTTTAAAGATTGAATAAAAAGTAGACATTGGAGATACCCCATGGGAGCTAAAGCTACTAAAGTGTCTAAAAAGGTAAAAAGGGATGAAAATCTAGAATGGAAAAGGAGGGAATCTAGAATGGAATAGACAGGGAGGCCACCTCCCCTGTTGTATCACTAGGAAAGATGGAGAAGACATAGGTCAACTGGTAGTGGGAAGATGGAGGCATTTTATTTTAATAGCACCTATATTCTCAATAAAATATAAAGCAAGACCATCAATATATCGTGACAATAAAGAGTTGAGAGAGAGGGAAAGTTAAATATTTTATGGTACATAGAATTCACCGGGAAAGCCATGTTGACCTGAAGTTTTTATTGTGCAAGGCCTTTAATTACAGCTTCTATTCCTTTTGTAGTTTTAGAACTATTTCCTTTTCTTTTTTTTCAATAAATTAGGTTTATTGATCTATCTAATCTAACATTTAAATTTTATGGCACACTGCCCTCTGCTGATTTTTTAAATGTCTATGTGGATCTGAAGTGATCTCTTTTTATGTGTGAGATTAATTTTTTTGTTTCCTATCTTTTAATCAGTCTTGCAAGGGTTTATCAATCTTATTTGGCTTTTAAAGAATAATTTTTATTATTTCTATTGTGTGTTTAATTTGTTTCATTATGTCTCTTATTTCATTATTTTTACCTTCTTAGGGTTTAATTTACTGACCTTTTCTTATATCATTGATTTTCAGCCATTTTTAAAATATTTAAGGTTACCAAGACTGTATCACATCTTTTGTTATATAGCACCTTCATAACTATTGAGTTCGAAGTATTTGATCATTTCTACTGTTATGTCTTTGGCCTTCAGGTTATTGTGCAATATTTTTCTTTATTTTGAACTATATGGGGATTTTCTAGTAAGCTTCTTACCTTAAATGCAATTGTGTCTCTCTCCGGTTGATATTCCTCTCTCTCTCTCCCTCACCTCCCTCCCTTCAACTCTCTAGAAATCAATGGAAAGAATATCCTTGGGTGAGGATTTTTAAAAAGAGAAATTGAAGTTGATGCTAAAGGAAAATGAAAGAGAAATATTTGAGAGACTTATTCTCAAATATTCTAGGACCATTACCATAAATGACTTTTTTGAATAGAGGAAAACTCCTTGAATTTACTAATTTGGCTCATTGCTCAACCAGCCTCCCTTAACTTTAGCTCCTTCTTCCTAGAAAAGAAGGCCAATTTACAAGCAGTTAAAAACAACATATTCAGTGTCAGCCCAAGTTTTCCTCTTATTCAGTTCAGTAAGAACTCCCTAACATAGAAAATGGACTCATTTGATTTTTCTTTTTCCCCTCCCCAGAGTTGGAGACCAAACCAGCAACCAAATATGCTATACTAACAGAGGATATCTTTGAAGATTTGTCACAGGAGACCAGAGTAGATAAACTTGCAGAGAATGGTCTATGGCACTCCAGAATGGGAGGATTATGGAAATGGAATGACAGGATATTGAGACTGCAAAATAGTCAGGAGAGTCAGAGCCAAAGAATAGTTACACAGAAGAAAATTCACACTGGCCAAAGAGGCATTAAATTTGGGTCTATATTTTGTCCAGAACCAGGAGTTACCACAGAAGAGTTCCACAGCAAATGCCAAAATCATGAGGAAAATTTCACAGAGAATTTAGATTTGAATACAGATACCCATTTGGGGAAGAAAAATTGCAAGGATACGGAAGGCAGCAATGCTATAAAGCCTGCTTCAGAACTTACTTTAAGGGGAAAAAATAATAACAAAGAAAAACCCTATAAATGCAGTACATGTGAAAAGGCCTTTTGTTATAGGTCATTACTCATTCAGCATCAAAGAACTCACACTAAAGAAAAACCTTATGAATGTAATGAATGTGGGAAAATGTTTAGTCAGCCTTCATATCTTAGTCAACATAAAAAAATTCACACTGGAGAAAAACCCTATAAGTGTAACGAATGTGGAAAGGCCTTTATTGCTTCTTCATCACTGATGGTACATCAGAGAATTCATACTAAGGAGAAACCTTATCAGTGTAATGTCTGTGGAAAATCTTTTAGCCAGTGTGCACGTCTTAATCAGCACCAGAGAATTCAAACTGCAGAGAAGCCCTATAAATGCAGTGAATGTGGGAAGGCTTTTAGTGATAAATCAAAACTTGCACGACATCAAGAAACTCACAATGGAGAGAAACCCTACAAATGTAATGATTGTGGGAAAGCCTTCAGGAATAAGTCATATCTTAGTGTACATCTGAAGACCCATACTGAAGAGAAACCATATAAATGCAATGAGTGTGGAAAATCCTTCAAGAATACCACAATTTTTAATGTTCATCAGAGAGTTCATACTGGAGAGAAGCCCTTTAGATGTAATGAATGTGGAAAAGCCTATAGAAGTAATTCAAGCCTTATTGTACATATAAGAACTCATACTGGGGAAAAACCCTATGAATGTAATGAATGTGGGAAAGCATTCAACCGTATAGCAAATTTCACAGAACATCAGAGAATTCATACGGGAGAAAAACCTTATAAATGTAATGAATGTGGGAAAGCATTCATTAATTATTCATGCCTTACAGTACACCACAGAATGCATACAGGAGAGAAACCTTATAAATGTAGTGAATGTGGAAAGGCCTTCATGCGTTCCTCATCTCTAATTATACATCAACGAATTCATACTGAAGAGAAACCTTATCTATGTAATGAATGCGGGGAATCTTTCAGAATAAAATCACACTTAACTGTACATCAGAGAATTCATACAGGAGAGAAACCATATAAATGTACTGACTGTGAAAGGGCATTCACCAAAATGGTAAATCTTAAGGAGCATCAGAAAATTCATACTGGAGTGAAACCCTACAAATGCTGTGATTGTGGAAAATCCTTCAGAACTAAGTCATACCTTATTGTACATCAAAGGACCCATACTGGAGAAAAACCATATAAATGTAATGAATGTGAGAAAGCTTTTACTAATACATCACAGCTTACTGTGCACCAAAGAAGGCATACTGGAGAAAAACCCTATAAATGTAATGAATGTGGGAAGGTTTTCACAAGTAACTCAGGATTTAATACCCATCAGAGAACACATACTGGAGAGAAACCATTTAAATGTAATGACTGTGGGAAAGCATTTAGCCAGATGATACATGTCACAGAACATCAGAAAATCCATAGTGGAGAGAAACCCTATAAATGTGATGTGTGTGGAAAAGCCTTCAGGAGGGGTTCATACCTTACAGTGCATTGGCGAACACATACTGGAGAAAAGCCCTATACATGTAAAGAATGTGGAAAAGGTTGTATTACTCTCTCACAGCTAACTCTACATCAGCGAATTCATACTGGGGAGAAGCCGAATAAATGTGAAGAATGTGGAAGAGCCTTTAGAACAAACTCAGACTTTACTGTACACCTAAGGATGCATACTGGAGAAAAACCCTATAAATGTAATGAATGTGGAAAAACCTTTAGGAGTAGCTCCAGCCTTACTGTACATCAAAGAGTACATCAGAGAAAAACTCAGTTAATATAAAGAATAATAAGTCATCCAGTTGTCTATAAGAAAAATCATAATCTGTATATATAATGAAAGTGGGAAGACTTTCAGGAATCAATTTACCAGAAGATACAGAAAAAAATAGTCTATAAACATATGAATGAGGAAAAACATTTAATCATATTAAATCTTATAAGGAAATTCACAATGGAGTGCAATAATGGACAAATGAAAGCCTTCATCCAGGTTTGATACTTTATTCATGTAACAGGTTATCTTTAATGAATTGCCTATATACTTTTGCCTTTTTTTCCTATTGGTTTGTTTAATAAATCTGGAAGTGCTCTTTTATACATTTTAGATATTCATCTTTTGTCATCTGTGTTGCAGATGTTTTTCTTAATCTAGCATTTGTCTTTCTATTTTTATATAATAGAAGTCACCATATTTTTATTTTTATAGTAAAATATATTTTTTTTCATTTTTCCTTTTTTTCTTGATGTACTATTTTAGTTAAAGGGTCTCCTTAATTCTTAGGTTATACATAGTCTCCTAAATTTGTTTCTAAGATTCTGGAAATTTTATTTTTTACATTGAAGTCTTTAACCCTTCTGGACTGGAGGGCTATTGATAGAAGATCAACTCCAAATGGCCATTAACCTATGAAAATATTATGAACCTAAATAGTACTCAGGGAAATGAAAATTACAACATTCTCTGAGATATTACTTTCACTTCATGGAGTTGGCAAAATTAAAAGATTTGTGAGTGGGGTTTGGGAAACCATGTACTCTTACCAAAAGGTTAAAAATAAAAAGCTTTGACCCAGAAGTCTATCCCACAGAAATAACAGCATTAATGCATAAGAATACACATAAAGACAAAATGAATGGCTACTAATAGGAGAATGGTTGAATGAATTGTGATATATCCTGATGTGTGAAATAGCATAAGAGTAATTTTTAAAATGAGTTATATCTACAATAATTGATTCCAAGGCATTTGCATAATTTTTGGTAAGTAACTGCTTTCTTACAGATATGTATATGTGTAATATTTCATTTTTGTTAAATAATTACACCCATTTCTGTATTCCTGTGTGTATGTGATTAGATGAACATGGAAACAGGTATGGAAGAATCCACACCAGACAGTTAACATTGGTTAACTTGAAGGAAGGTGGAGAAGAGGAGAAGTAGGTGATGAGTAAGGAAAAAGACTGGGGAAAAAGAGAAATGAAAGTGCAACATGTATGGTACAAAATTCTATGTAAAATTATGTATTTGTGTGAACTTTTGAGATCCATGAATGAAGGGATGGTCTCCAAAACTTGATGGCTGTTTCAGAGTTGGTGGAGTATCAGGTGTTTTTTGTTTAACTTTTCTGCATTTTTCTATATTTTTTTGTTTTTCTTTCCAATGAGCATGTAATATTTATATAAACAGGAAAAACCTATTTTTCTTGTGCAGCTAATTCATTGGACACCTGATATATGCTAGGAATCACCCTGGATGCTGGATGTACATTGGTGTGGGGAGGTCTGGTCATGGATCTAAGAATGTGGGAATTGGTTTTGATGCTGCCTAGATTCCAAAGTTACACAGCACTTCACTCCCCCAACCCTCTGTGTTTCATTTGGAGGAGGTAATAGAAATTTTATATAGATGGAAAACATATTCAAGAATATCTAGACTTGTGTCTATCCTGTAGAGAAGAAGACCACAAGCCTCAGAAAGAAGTTCTACTTTTAACATGGTGCCAAAATAAAGGTCCTAATAGTAGTAAGTTTTATGTATAGCCTCACAGAACATTGGAGTATAGAGAGAGGAAATAGACCAGGACTCCCAAGTCCACATTGAAGGCTAGGAATACTAAGAGAGTCCTGGGAAACCAGAAGCTGTGGACCTGACACCAGAAGGCTCTAACACAGCGGTTTTCAACCTGTGGGCCGTGACCCCTTTAGGGGTCGAACGACCCTTTCACAGGGGTCGCCTAAGACCATCGGAAAACAGATATATAATTACATATTGTTTTTGTGATTAATCACTATGCTTTAATTATGTTCAATTTGTAACCATGAAATTGGGGGTCACCACAACATGAGGAACTGTATGTATTAAAGGGTCGTGGCATTAGGAAGGTTGAGAACCACTGCTCTAACAGATCATGGGCCTGATACCCAGAGAGAACAAGGCATGATGAGCTATGCTTCAGTGAAGACTGAAGGAAAGAAAGTCAGATGTCCCTCTTACAATGTGTACAATGGACAAGTACATTTATACTAATAATCTATACTAATAAAAGTGTAATATGCTAATTAGACCGGGTCAGCCAGACATCTTCCGGTCATCTGGTCCTCCTTCTGGACAAAGCCACAGTGGCAGGGGCCAAGGCAGAAGCGGTTAGGGGCAATCAGGCCAGCAGGGGAAAGCGGATGGGGCGATCAGGCCAGCAGTCAGAGGCAGTTAGGGGCGATCAAGCAGGCAAGCAGAGTAGTTAGGGGTGACAAGGCAGGCAGGCAGGTGAGCGGTTAGGAGCCAGTGGTCCCGGATTGCAAGAGGGATGTCTGACTGTTGGTTTAGGCCCAATCCCGTAGTGGGACATCCCCCAAGGGGTCCAGGATTGGAGAGGGTGCAGGCCAGGCTGAGGGACCACACCCCATGCATGAATTTCATGTACCGGGCCTCTAGTATTTAATATTGGGAAGGAGATAGTGGATAAATTATATGAGCTATCTCCCATTATAAATAATTTGACATTGCAGTTAAAATGACCATTTCCAGTTAAATTTTAATAGTGAAATCTATTAACTATTACCAAGAGACTTACCTTCTTTGGATATAACATACCGCTCTCTGATAGGAAAGTCTGAGGATTAGACCTTGAAATACTACCCTTAAAACCTCTGCTGTCATTATAAAATAGTCATGGAATGTATAGTACAGACAGGAAATATGGTCTGTATTAAATTGTAATAACTATGGGTGGTGTCAGTTGGATAACTAGACTTATTGATGGGACCACTCATAAGTTATATAAAAGTATAACCACTGTGCTGTATACATGAAACTAATATAATATCGAATGTCAACTGGAATTGAAAAATTAAAAATCTAATAAAGAGCCAGGGTCGTAATGACCCAAGGCTCGACCAGACCAGAAGTCAGTGCTGGGTTAGGGCAACCCAGCACTGACTGCCTAGGGGGCTGCAGATCAGGCCTGGAGAGAGGCCTGCAGAGAGAGAGAGAGGCAGCATCTGATCCGTAGCCTCTGTGGCAGCCGTTGATCAGAACGTGCCTCTCTTTCTTTCCCAGCCTGGCCAACAGCCGCACCTCCATTTCTCTCCAGGCCTCCACTGGGGCCGCTGATCAGCCCCACCTTTCTGATCAGGCCCCGTTGATAGGCCTAGAGACACTGACTGGCATAGAAACTGACCAGTCAGAACCAAATCTGGGTCAACTGTGAGGAGTCAATGGCTGCCTAGGTGGCAGAGCTTTTGACACTGACTGGCATAGAAACTGACCAGAACCAAATTGTCTGGCAGAAGAAGGCAGTTGGGGGCAAGATCAGGCCTGCAGGGGAGGGCAGTTAAGGGTGATCAGCCAGGCAGAAGCAGTTAGGGGTGATCAGGCCGGCAGGGAAGGGCAGTTGGGGGCAACCAGGCTGGCAGGAGAGGGCAGTTGGGGGTGAGATCAGGACAGCAGGGGAGGGTAGTTAGGGATGATCAGGCAGGCAGGCAGAGGCAGTTAGGGGCGATCAGGCAGGCAGGCGGAGAGGTTAAGGATGATCAGGCAGGCAGAGGGGTTAAGGGCATCAGGCAGGCAGGCAGGTGAGTGGTTAGGACCAGCGGTCCCAGATTGTGAGAGGGGTGTCTGACCACCGGTTTAGGTGCGATCCTGATCAGGCCTAAACCGATGGTCAGACATCCCCCAAGGAGTTCCCGATTGGAGTGGGTATAGGCTGGGCTGAGGGAACCCCCCCTCCAGTGCATGAATTTCGTGCACCAGGCCTCTAATCTACACTAATAAAAGAAACATGCAAATTGGTGTCACTCCGCTATGCCCACCAGCCAATCAGGATGAGTATGCAAATTAACCCAACAAAGATGGTGGTTAATTTGCATATGCAGGTGTGGAGTGAAGACTGAAGGCTCCACCCAAGCGAAGATTGAAGACGACTGATGACTGAAGACTGAAGAGGCTTACCTTCTCTGCTGCAGCCAGAGCAGAGAAGCCTCCAGGCTTGGCTTCTCCGCTGCAGTTGGAGCGAAGGCCTGGGTCCTGGGTGCCAGAGGAAAACCAGTGCCAGCAGCCAGGGGAAGGAAGGCCTATTGCACAAATCTCTTCGTGCAACAGGCCTTTAGTATATATATGAAAGCCTAAGCCACCGTTCAACCATTCGGTAGCTATGACACACACTGACCACCAGGGGGCAGATGCTCAATGCACAGGCATGGAAACATGGAACAGACTCATGAATCTCAGAGGGAAGGGGGGAGGGGAGAGGGTGGGAAGAGATTAACCAAAGATCTTATATGCATACTAGAGGCCTGGTGCATGGGTTCGTGCACCAGTGGGGTCCCCCGGCCTGGCCTGCAGGGATCCAGCTGAAACAGGCTCTCTGACATCCCCTGAGGGGTCCTGGATTGTGAGAGGGTGCAGGCCAGGCCGAAGGACCCCACTGGTGCACAAATCCATGCACTGAGCCTCTAGTCCTATCTAATAATAGACAAACATGGTAATTGACCATACCTTCGCTATGCCTCCCATTGGCTAATCAGCGTGATATGCAAATTAAGCCAACCAAGATGGCGGCTGGCAGCCACGTAGCTGAAGCAAACAGGAGGCTTGATTGCTCCAGTGATGGAGGAAGCCAAGGTTCCCCGCCTGCCGCGGCCTGGCTATGAGCTCCGAAAGCAACAAAGTTTCAATTATAGAAGCTAAACAAACCCCAGATACCTGCTTTCAGCAGGCCGTGGCCACAGAACTGGAGCAAGCAGGAGCCGGCTCTTAGCTCCAATGACGGCAACAAAGTTTCAATTATAGAAGCTAAAAAAAACTCAGATACCTGCTTTCAGCAGGCCATGGCCTCGGAGCTGGAGCGAGCAGGAGCCGGCTCTCAGCTCCAGTGACGGCAACAAAGTTTCAATTATAGAAGGTAAATAAATCCCAGAATGAAAAAAAAAGAAGAAAAGGAGAGGCTGGGAGCTCAGTCACCGGCCAGCCTGAAAACAGCCATCAGCCCTTCACCCAGACTGGCCAGGCACCCCAGTGGGGACCCCCACCCTAAGGGGCTGTGGCCAGCCTGAAAACAGCCATCAGCCCCTCACCCAGGCTGGCCAGGCACCCCAGTGGG